CCCGGGCGGGGCAGACTCCGGCGCCGGCACTGCACTGGCGGGTCCCTGAACGTCCATCGCTAAGGGCGAGCGGGGAGCGGGGCCCGGGCGGGCCGCTGAGCCGCCCTCCTGGCTCACCCCCATCCCTGCAGCCGCTGCCTTGTTTCCTGCGCGGCTTCTCTGCCCCCCAAAAGGAGGAAAACTCATTCTGAGCCCACCAGGGACCCCACTGCCCCCGAGCCAAGCTTAGGGCAGCCGACAGCCCCCCGGGACAGTCCCCGTCCATCCCGGCTTTCTCATTCTCCCCTTCCCCAGCACAGCGTTTCCCCGCTCGCCCGTTGCCCCGCGTCGTTGCCCTCGTGTCCTCGGCATGTGCCCCCGCAGCCCCCCGAGGTCACAGGCAGGGGAGGGCAGGGTGACACCGCGGTGCCTCTCATGGGACCTGCCCCGCAGCTGACCTCCCGGGTCCCCCACACTGACCTAATACTTAACGCTTTCTTTGCATGCTTAATTTCCTGCCCTCTGTAATTAGCTGGCCGGCCTGTCATTAGCATCAGGCAGTGCTGTTGGGATGCCCTCATGCTTCCCTTGCTGTGGGCCAACGTTGCCGGCAGCGTGTCACCGCAGTGGCCAAAACCGCGGCTGTGCCGGCTGCCCTCGTGGGGACAGTCTGTGTCCTTCGTGGGCACGGTGCCACCAAGGCCACCTCTGTCCCTGCATGTGTCCCCACAGCCTCTCCTCTGCCACGTCCCACCCAGCCGTATATGGGCTTATCCAGGGCTGATGCTCTGGTACTTTTCTACCTTTTCCCACGGTGGATGGTTCAGGTGGTTGCAGACAACCTAAGGATGGAGAGCACGCGCTGCTCCCTGCCCCCAGGCATCCAGCCAGTACCATGAATGTCCCCCGACAGTTATGCAGGACTTTTTCGGGTCACCCTGCGTCACCTGCATATTGCACAAGGCCACAAACAAAGCTCCGCAGCGTCAGCACTGAGCCCAGGACGTGCAGCAGAGCGTGGCTCCAAGCCGCACGCTGCACCTGAATTAGAGGCTGCAAGGGGTGGGGAAGCCACAGCGTCCTGTGAGAAGTCATCCTGATGGCAAGTTGCCCTTGGAGCTGTCTCATCTGAAGTGAAGTCTTATTCCCAGTATTTGTGCACCTTCCACTGTATCTCCTGTGCCTGGCTGCACCCGGCTGATGCAGGTGATGCTCACAGCCCTGGTCACCCTTTCCACTTCCCACCTTCTCACTCCATCTGACTCTGTCTTTGGCTCCCTGAAACCCTCACTTGGAGGGCAGAGTGAGAGACTGAGGCAGCTGTGCAGAGGCTGGATACCTGGCTGGGAGAATAGCTCCTTTTTCAGCATCTAACCCTGTGCTGCTCTGAGCCAGGAGCAGCCAGAACCAGCAGTGCTGAGCGCAGGCACAGCCCAGCTCTAGTCGGGTGCCCACCATCATGCTCTGGAGCAGATTGGGTGCCCATTACACTCTGAAGCAGGTTGGGTGATCATTCTTGTACTCTGGAGCAGGTTGGGTGCTCACCATTGCATTCTGGAGCTGTTTTGATGCTCATCCTTGTGCTCTGAAGCAGCCTGGGTGCCCACCATCATGCTCTGGAGCAGATTGGGTGCCCATTCTTATGCTCTGGAGCAGGTTGGGTGCCAACCATCCCAGTCTGGAGCAGACTGGGTGTCCAGTTTTCTCACTGCACTGCAGAAGCCGTGAGGAAATGCCATGTGCTGTTTGTATCGTGCATCCCACATGGTCCTGGTGCATTTTTTCCCCTCACTCTTCAATTACAGAACAGCCATGCCAAGGGGACAAAAGTGTAGTGCAGACAAGGTACAAACAAGACCTCGCTGAGGAGTTGCAGTGGTGCGAGGGCTCTCTGCACATCTGTCTGCACCTCTGGACATCTGTCCGCAGGAGGGGGGGATCACTGCCACTCCTGGCTCTGGTCTGTGCACCAGCACAGATGCCTGGTGGTACCTTGCTGTGCCAGATAACCCAAGCACGGATCTGTAAGGTCACTACAGTCATCACAGAGATCACGACTTATGAGAGCTGCTGGAAATGAGCTCTCTGTGTGTGTGTGAGGAGTGTCTCCTTTATAAAAGTGCCAAGGGTGTATCTACACAACCCTAACTAAATTTCCCCAGGGGCATCTGTGGAGTGGCACACCCCTGGTCTCTTTTCTCTCTGGTGGGATCCTTTAAACCTCAACCTGAGCTCTCCAGTCCCTCTTTCCTGAGCTGGTTGCTTAGGTTAAAGAAATACCCTTTGCCTCTCCCTGTACCCGGTGGTATCACTGTCGCAGCCAGCTGCTGACATTGATGCAGCATCTCTAGGACTAGGGATGGATGTCACCGGCTCCATCAAAGCCGCCTTTACCAACTGCCTCTGTCCCAGCCCAGCGGGGTTTTGCCTCCACCAACAAGGCATAGTGCTGGTGGGGGCTGTATTTCCCAAGAGGTCTGGCATGCCTGCCTGGTTAACACTGATTTTTAAGTCAATGTTTGCTTTGAGGTCGCTCCCGGCTGCACCCCATTGTAAGCCAGAGCTGTTCCCATGCATTCGCCGAGGGCTCGGCGCTTCCAGACGCACAAAGGAGCAGTCACTTAGCATTAGCAGTCCCACAATGTGGCCGTGTCTCCCACCAGCTGAGCCAGGTCTGTGTTTCGCCAGCAAAAGCCCCTCTGCTGAAAGGCTGTGGAGAGACAAGGCAGCAGTAATAGATTTGAGCGAAGGGGGGGGCTCTCACAGGGGCGGGGGGACCCAGCACGAGCAGGAGCCAGGGCTGTCCCACGGTCCAGGCGTGGGGCTGCTGTAGGTTATTTCAACACGGGGTGACTGGGAGGACATGGGGCGGGATGGGTTATATATTTACAAGGGCTATGCACAGCGCAGAGTGATCCATGGTCGGGACAACCCCAAAGGGTGGGATACAAGGTGGGTGTGGGTCCCCGGGGGATAAATTATGGGCTGAGAATTACTGTCCCAGACATGGGGCCCTGCAGTGTGCAGGAACTCCTGGGCGTCACCTCAGAGAGACACTGGCAAAGGTTAAAGAAGGAGAAATAGCCACCAGGACTGGAT